TTTGGCGATTTGGGTTTATGGGTTTTTGAGGGTTTCAGGGTTTCAAGGTTCCAGCTTTTCAGGGTTTAGGGTTTAGGGTTTAGGGCCCTCGACAGTGCGCGGTCTAAGCCATGAGTTTAGGCTCGAGGTGCGTCGTACTGTCGGACCTTGGCTTTAGGGCTTAGGGCTTAGGGTTTAGGATTTAGGGTTTAGGGCTTAGGGTTTAGGGCTTTCTGGTTTGAGGGCATTAGGGGTTGGGGTTTTAGGGCTCTTGACATTGAGAGTATGAGGCCTTCAGGGTTTGTTGTCCCCCCAAAGCCACTCCTCCTCATCGACACTGACACTGTGAGAGGCCGACTGTCAGACGGCTATCGGCGCCGCCATGGCCCACAAGTTCAATGACCTGCAGGCCCTTAGGATTATGAACGAAGATTTCAATTGCCCTTGGTAAGGGTTCAGGAAACTCAGGGCCAAGCCCTAACCCGCCCTAAAGTTCTAGCACCCTGAATCACCCTAGATTGTTATCCCAAAATCCAGTCGACATTCATGCTTAAAGTTATTTCCGAGCGGCTGTAGGATTTTGAGGTGGTGCAGGGTTGACTTAGCATCTTCTGTTGGGGTTTGGGCTTACGTACCCTGCGTACGATCCCTTCAAGGAGGAGGGGGCACCTGAATTTCGCTGTAACAGGATGTGAAGTTTATCATCAACGTTGGCGACTCGTTCTATCCGAATGGCGTTGCGAGCCCGGGGGACATCCGTTGGAGGACGCAGTGGATGGACCGATACCCAGGCACGTTGGCTCGGAGCATTTGTGGACTTGGACAGTTCAGTTCGAACAGTCAGGACCTAAACCCCGAGCCCCCAGTCCCTTAACCCCTGAACCCCCTGACTCTAAACCCTAAACCCCAACCCTTCACCCTAAACCAGTAGAGGGAGACCAGCGGCACATGGAGCACCGAAGAACCCGGACACAGGGCACGCCACGACGCGGGGGACAGGTGGCTGTTCTAACTTGGGGCCCCTGCACATCGGTTAAGTTAGGGTAAGGGTTAAGGCTTTAGGGTTTACGGTTTAGGGTTCCTAGACTTTAATGCCCTGAAAAAACCCCACACGTAGAGGGGACGCCATTTAGAACAACTTTTTGCCCCTTCCCCCACCCCCCACCCCCCCCTGGGTTTTTGTTTAAGGTTTTGCAGTTTCGGGTTTGTGGTTTGACATGATTAGCCATATCATCCCGCAGTTCCGAGCCGAACAATACCACAACAATCCCTCTTATAACCCCTGGATTATAACCCCTGGGTATTGAATAGTAGGCTACAACCCTGCACGAACAGACATCCTCCGCTCGGTTCCATGGTACAGCGTCTACGGGAACCACGATGCTCGAGCGGCAAGAGTGGTTGCGGTTTAGGGTTTAGGGTGTTCCTCCCTCTAAACAGTGTTGCAGAAGACTCCCTGCCGATGCGAGCTCCCCTGACCCCAATCGGGTTTCGGCTGCAGGGTTTAGGGTCCAGCACCCTGGCTGCAGGGTTAGGGCTGAGGGTACTGAACTTTCCGAGGGCCCGTCCCGAACAATGAAGGTCCCCTTTCAAGCGGGCTGAGAAGGTTGAGTCGGGAAACGATTTCATGGGACCTCGCGTTGCTATTCTGTAGCCCGGCTGCCGCTTCTTATTCTGAATTTAGCATCCCAAAGCTTGCAAATGATTACGCCGTGGAACCCTGCTGTAGGCCTGGAACCCCAAAGAGGCCCCGGTCAACTGAGCCCCTGGTCCTTTGGCAAAAAGCAGCTGCATGGCATGCACTGACAGGGTTGTTGGTGCCAGTCAAGCCTTTGGCCTCCCTCATCCCTAAACTCAGGACGCCCACCACGACCCAGGTATGTGCAACGATGAGGCAAGATTTCTGCGCGCGAACCCTTATGATCCGATGGTTGTAGCATGCTCTAACTTCGTAGCCCAGTTCGTGCGCGAGAGCTTGACATAAGGAACACACCCACGAAGACAGAAAGCGGATTGCCAACCCCAAGCCCAGAGAAAAAGACAGTGAACGAGAAACGGAAAGAGAGGCCGGCGCGCAGTTGGGGGACATCCTCTCCAGGCGCAACGGCCTCTTCGAACGCCGCTCGGGCAGCTTGTGTGTCTGCAGGGGTCTGCAGGAGCTTTTGCTGGGGAAACTCAACAGTATAAATCCAAAGCCCAAAACCCTATAGGCCCTAAACCTGTCGAACTGACAAGTTCAAGTTGGCATTCTTCCTGAGGTGGCCCTGTTGGCCAGCTTGGTCGCTCAGTGTTTAGGGTATAACAAATCTCTCTGCGTCAGGGTTCTACATGCCGGACTACAACTGGTACTATACCCACGAGGACACTAGAGATGGGCGTTGCGGTTGAGGGTGAAGGGCGCCATCTTGCGAGAAGACCCTTACACAGCCTTACCTAGACTAGAGTCACCTGCACACCCCTCGCCCCCCCCACCCACCCCTGGTCTACCTCATGCCTTCGAAAGAGGTGAGGGGCCCCGCGGCCCTTTCGAGAGCTGCTAAGGCCCGCCAAGGCGAGCATCATCAGCATCAGCCGGTTGTTTTTTCTTCCCAGGCCCCGCGGTGCTTTCGAGAGCTGCCAAGGCCCGCCAAGGCGAGCATCATCAGCATCAGCCGGTTGTCTTTTTTCAGGCTTCCCAGGCCCCGCGGCCCTTTCGAGAGCTGCCAAGCCCCGCCAAGGCGAGCATCATCAGCATCAGCCGGTTGTTGTTTTTTCAGGCTTCCCAGGCCCCGCGGTGCTTTCGAGAGCTGCCAAGGCCCGCCAAGGCGAGCATCATCAGCATCAGCCGGTTGTCTTTTTTTCAGGCTTCCCAGGCCCCGCGGCCCTTTCGAGAGCTGCCAAGGCCCGCCAAGGCGAGCATCATCAGCATCAGCCGGTTGTCTTTTTTTCAGGCTTCCCAGGCCCCGCGGCCCTTTCGAGAGCTGCTAAGGCCCGCCAAGGCGAGCATCATCAGCATCAGCCGGTTGTTTTTTCTTCCCGAGAGCTGCCAAGGCCCGCCAAGGCGAGCATCATCAACATCAGCCGGCTGTTGTTTTTTCAGGCTTCCCAGGCCCCGCGGTGCTTTCGAGAGCTGCCAAGGCCCGCCAAGGCGAGCATCATCAGCATCAGCCGGTTGTTTTTTTCTCAGGCTTCCCAGGCCCCGCGGCCCTTTCGAGAGCTGCCAAGGCCCGCCAAGGCGAGCATCATCAGCATCAGCCGGTTGTCTTTTTTTCAGGCTTCCCAGGCCCAAGGCCCGCCAAGGCGAGCATCATCAGCATCAGCCGGTTGTTTTTTCTTCCCAGGCCCCGCGGTGCTTTCGAGAGCTGCCAAGGCCCGCCAAGGCGAGCATCATCAGCATCAGCCGGTTGTCTTTTTTCAGGCTTCCCAGGCCCCGCGGCCCTTTCGAGAGCTGCCAAGCCCCGCCAAGGCGAGCATCATCAGCATCAGCCGGTTGTTGTTTTTTCAGGCTTCCCAGGCCCCGCGGTGCTTTCGAGAGCTGCCAAGGCCCGCCAAGGCGAGCATCATCAGCATCAGCCGGTTGTCTTTTTTTCAGGCTTCCCAGGCCCCGCGGCCCTTTCGAGAGCTGCCAAGGCCCGCCAAGGCGAACATCATCAGCATCAGCCGGTTGTCTTTTTTTCAGGCTTCCCAGGCCCCGCGGCCCTTTCGAGAGCTGCTAAGGCCCGCCAAGGCGAGCATCATCAGCATCAGCCGGTTGTTTTTTCTTCCCAGGCCCCGCGGTGCTTTCGAGAGCTGCCAAGGCCCGCCAAGGCGAGCATCATCAGCATCAGCCGGCTGTTTTTTTTTCAGGCTTCCCAGGCCCCGCGGCCCTTTCGAGAGCTGCCAAGGCCCGCCAAGGCGAGCATCAGCCGGTTGTCTTTTTTTCAGGCTTCCCAGGCCCCGCGGCCCTTTCGAGAGCATCATCAGCATCAGCCGGTTGTCTTGTTTTCAGGCTTCCCAGGCCCCGCGGCCCTTTCGAGAGCTGCCGAGGCCCGCCAAGGCGAGCATCATCAACATCAGCCGGTTGTTTTTTTTTCAGGCTTCCCAGGCCCCGCGGTGCTTTCAAGAGCTGCCAAGCCCCGCCAAGGCGAGCATCATCAGCATCAGCCGGTTGTTTTTTTTTCAGGCTTCCCAGGCCCCGCGGCCCTTTCGAGAGCTGCCAAGGCCCGCCAAGGCGAGCATCATCAGCATCAGCCGGTTTTTTTTTTCAGGCTTCCCAGGCTCCGCGGCCCTTTCGAGAGCTGCCAAGGCCCGCCAAGGCGAGCATCATCAGCATCAGCCGGTTGTTTTTTTTTCAGGCTTCCCAGGCCCCGCGGCCCTTTCGAGAGCTGCCAAGGCCCGCCAAGGCGAGCATCATCAGCATCAGCCGGTTGTCTCTTTTTCAGGCTTCCCAGGCCCCGCGGCCCTTTCGAGAGCCGCCAAGGCCCGCCAAGGCGAGCATCATCGGCATCAGCCGGTTGTCTTTTTTTTCAGGCTTCCCAGGCCCCGCAGCCCTTTCGAGAGCTGCCAAGGCCCGCCAAGGCGAGCATCATCAGCATCAGCCGGTTGTCTTTTTTTCAGGCTTCCCAGGCCCCGCGGCCCTTTCGAGAGCTGCCAAGGCCCGCCAAGGCGAGCATCATCAGCATCAGCCGGTTGTTTTTTTTTCAGGCTTCCCAGGCCCCGCCAAACCCAAGTTTGCGTTAAAGGGCTTAGGTTTCTTCTTTTTCGTGAGGGTTTAGGGTGACGTGAGCACTTCAGCACCCTGAACCCTGAACCCTCAACCCTGTAAATTGCAAGTGTCCCAAGCTTTTGGGGTTTAGGGCTGTTGAGGGCACGGTGACGATCATGGGTCTTCGCGGCACTTGCCCGACAAAGGGCTAGCTAGGGGTCTGTGGGACCTTTTGTGAACTTCGTCCTGCATAACACCCTTTTAATTGCAAGACTTCGTGAGGGTTCTTGAATCATTTCTCTATTCCCTTCCAATTCACGCTGTATAGTATGAAGCGAGTGAAACGAACGTAGCACCTTATCTTTATTCTTCCTGGCAGCAACAGTTTGTAATGCACGGACTTGATTGAAGATATGCATTTGAAGTATAGAATTGCGAATCATCATTTTTTATCTGTGCTCGCGGCGTGAATCCTGGAAATTCTCGCAAGGTGTTCATTACATTTCCTGTTTTAAAGGCGGTCTTAGGAGCAAATTTTTCTGATGATTTAATTGTATATGATGCTCTTCTGTTGCTCACAGACTCCCCTTAGTAGGTTCACAAGGACTTTGCGTACCAAATTTCTAGAATTCATTTCGCTTATGTACTTGTTTTTGTTTTTGGTTTCTTGCGCCCTATTCGAATTCAATTTTCGGTGCCGTAGCGCATGCTAAGGACCACATAGTTCGTTCACTCGTTCATTCTTCCTCTGCCTACCTCTCCTCCCCCTAAACCCGAAAACCCTAATTAAGCCCAAGATTCATGATCCGGGGTGGAGGAGCTTTCGGTCGAGGTAATTGCCCTCGACCTGAACAAGCCACCTTGGCAGGTTTAGGGTTTAGGGTTTAGGGCTTTAGGGCTTTAGGGCTCTGTTGGGCTCCCGACGGAGATTCGAGTTTAGGGGTTTGGGCACAGTTTTGTCTTAACTCCTGAACCCTGAACCGCTTCTTGGCGTTGGCTTTCAGGTTTGCGGGTGGTTTTTAGAAGGCATGGCTAGCTTCAATGGAATAGTACATCATAAAGTAGTGACTGTAGTGGTACAGCATTCGGCAATTTATGTTGATATTGCAAACACACAGATGCACACTCTTATATGTATATATATATATATATAGAGAGAGAGATGAGTTGACATGTTCGCTTGGTGGGTTTAGTGGGTCTCGCCTTCGTCGGACCACTCCAGGGCCCTGTTTAGAACCCAAGCCTTGTGCCATTACCTGTTCAGGGTCTAGGGCCAATCAGCCAGTCAAGAGAAGCTGAGGTACATGGACGGCTGGAACAAGAGCAAGGACGACGAAGACCTCTTTCTATCAGCTGCTCAACCACAGGGTTTCAGGGGTGTTTCCGGCCTGACACGCCGGAATTCTTCGATCAACCCCTATAAAGGGCGCATGTTCGGGGCTTTGAGGGCTTGGGGGGCGCCCTGAGCCAGCCGGCCTGTCACCTCAAGGCGCGAACTTGAGATTCTAAACTCCTGCATGACAGTTTTTGGGGTCCTAAACCCTAAACCCTAAACCCTAAACCCTAAACCCTAAACCCTAAACCCTAAACCCTCGCACCCCGACTCGACACGAATCCTAAGCCCTCTCAGCCTCAAGGATTGCGAGTACTCGTCCTGCCCTGAGACGTGCGTCAGCAATGCCGAGCGACGAGCTCAACAGGCGATGGACTTAGCTGCTTGGCAGGTTCAGGGTTTACAGTAGCGTTTTGGGTTTAGGGGCTTGAGAAGTTTGAGGGTTCATGGGCGCTGGGTTCACTTGAGGGGTCGGGCTGAAGGAGTTTCAAGGGCGCAGCGACTCGTGCTTGGGGGTTTAAACCTACAAGATCAACGCCTGCCCACACAGCCCCAAAACCCTCCTGAAACCTCCACCGTTCTTGTCACGTGGGTGCAGCGTAGACTTTTGGCGCCAGGTGGGACCGCTGAAAGCAGGGCTACGCCCGTACTCAGAGCACCAAAGTAAGTTTCCAGTTGCTTGTTCGAACTCTTCTGAGTTGCACCTCAGCACCTCCAAAACTGATGCGACCATCGTTCACGAAGAGTCTGAGCCCGTGCAGATCAGGTCTTCGAACGCTACACCAACACAACAGCAGAGTACCTGTTGATCTTTTCCCACTATCCCACGGACTATTTCCATTCCAGACCAGACTTTCTGGAGCCTTGGATGAATTGGGAGTTCTTGGGGCTGAACAGAAGAGTTTCGGCTTTGGGGGGGAGGAGCGGGGCACTACGGCGTGCGGCTTTTGCACTTCATGCTAATATTTCGGAGGGAGGGAGGGGGAGGAGAGGGAGAGGGAGAGGGGGAGGGGGAGAGGGAGAGGGAGAGGGAGAGGGAGAGGGAGAGGGAGAGGGAGAGGGAGAGGGAGGTCTAGCGACTACCAAATCCTGAACTCCTTAAACCCGAAACCCTACAACCCTCCTGTGGGGGGGTCCACGACCCCTTTCTGGGGCCCGGCTTACAAACGGACGTTATGGCAAAAGAATGCTTGCAAGGGGAATCTGATACCCAACCCCAAAACCCTAAATCCCTCAACTCTTAGACCCTACACCTTCAACCCTAAACCCGAAACCCTAAACCCTACACCTCATGAAGCCATCACCCAGGAACTGCTGGGAAGGCAAGGGACTCCAAGGATCGCCTACTTCGGCGGCCATCGGCACAACACAGACCAGTGGAGCACCCTCCGAACAGGCCTGGGGTTCAGGGTTTGAGGTTTTAGGGTTTTAGGGTTTGAGGCGTGTAGGGTTTTAGGATGTTTTTTCAGGGTTTAAGGGTTTAAGGGTTTGGGGGCTAAAGTTCAGGGCTTGGAGAAGTTTCCGGTTTTTTTTTTTTTTTTTTTTGGGGGGGGGGGGGGGGTTCGGCGTAATTAGGGGGTTTTAGGGGCTATGGGGGTGATTTGGTCACTAACCAGATCATATAGCCTCAGGCTGCCGCTCCCGAAAGCCGAGGCAAGCCCATTCTTGAACACATTGCTTACATGCACCCTAAATTTAGAAACCCTAAACCCTACATCCTAAACCCTAAGCCCTCGCTGGTTCCTTGGGTTAGCGAGCATAAAGACACACCGCCTTTCAAGTGAGCGTTCGAGGCCCCAGTTCAAGGTTGCATGATGCTATTGCAGTAGCCAACCTCCAAGAGGGTACCCTTCCGCAGTATAGTTTCAGGGTTTAGGGTTTAGGGTTGTCTACCACTAGACTAGTAGCAATAGGAATGATAGTAATAGTAGTACTATTGTGCGAGAAGTACGAATACTAGTACTAGTAGCACATGTCACAATTGTAGCAGTAGAAATACTAAGGGAACCTTGAGTACGAAGCATTTCTGAAAGGAGGAAATAAGAATAATAGGAATACTTGCAACAGCAAGAGATAGCAACAGTAGTAATAATAGGAATTGTAGTAGCAATAGTAGTGATGCGTTACATGCCTTCTCTTTCAAGGCCACCACGACTGGCTTGTGGGAGGCGGCGGCGGTTGGAGTTGCGATGGCAGGGAGCAAGGCTTTTTGGTGGGGACCATCGACTATTTCTACGAACTACGAACCTACCCTGTCTTTGTGGATGCTGAAGTCTGTTGTCCAACTTCGGCAAGTGCATGAAGAGCGGCTTTTCAGAGAGCCGCTTCAGGCCTCGCCAAATGGCGAGAGCTGTAGCAGGTGCCTTGCATCACTTCGAGGTGTCCCAATGAGGCAGGCGGTGTCCCAAAGTAGCACTCGCAAGTTGCAACGGGAACGCCGCAAGCTCGAGGCCTGTTTTCTTTGGTCTGATCTAGAGTAGCCTTCGTCTAGGAAGGTTCGCATTTCTCTCTTTGTTGGTCCTTTGAGACATACCAACCGTCCACGAGGGCGCTGAGCGCCTCTCATGCCAATGATCGACCATCCATCCGGCAGGGAGACAAGAATCCATCGTAAGCGACAGGATTTTGAAACCCCAAACCCCAGGTCCGGAACTCGAAGCCTCAAACCGCTTAAACCCTAAATTTTCCTAAGCCCCATAGCCCAGAGCACTATACATTGTTCTGTTAGTCGACGGTGGGCTCTGCAGTTGACTCCAAGGCCACACAGCTCCCGCCGCCAAGTTGTGAAGAGGGAAAGACTCACGCAGCGTGATTTTTGCTGTTTCAGAGTTTAGGGTTTAGGGTAGTCCAGCCTTACTTTGCCTCGGGGCTTTGAAGGGCTCAGGGCATCTTAGGGATGAGAGCGTGCAGGGTCTGGCTTGTCGACTCATTGCCCCCCCCCCCTCCCCCCTTGAAACGGCACGGAAGATTGTGCACGCGCACAGGTGGGGCGGTTGGGGGGTTTGAAGGGCTTAAGGTTTCTGGTCTGCCGCACTTCCTTTGAAATCCAGTGCTGGATAAGGACGCTAATTCGTGAAGAAGTATAATTACCAGACAGGCTGTCAGCGTTTATGTGGTTTACGGTGGGTGGTGGGTGGTTGGAAAGAGGGGTCCTTCAGGCTTGTTTCTATGGTGAGCTTGTGTGTGTACCTAACCGCCCTCTGGTGCACGCATCCTTGCGGCGGAATGGCTGGCTATGTGCTGCTTGCAGGGTTTGTGAATGTGCATGCGCATGTGCAAAGTTCAGGCATTAGTCGCACTACCATTGGCCAGGAAACGTTAACTGCATGCATCGCGGTCTCTTCTTGCTTGGATCTGTTCTTGGCATGCCACCTTTCAGTGTACTGACCATTTCGAAGTGCGTCGTACAATAAACTGATATTGCCATTAAGGCTAGTATTCTTATGACGAATATTGTGATTAATGTTACTACCATATTCTTACTACTACTACTACTACTACTACTACTACTACTACCACCACCATTTTACTATGGCTATTACCATGATCTGCTTCTGTCGCTGAGGCACTCAGCGACCTCCGTGCACGGGCGGAGACGGTGACCGGGCAAGAAGTGGACACGCCGGAGTTCTTGAAGATATGGTGATACGGTGGTCCGGTGGTTTTAAGTCTTCAAGTGCAGATCCCAAACCTTGCACTTAACACTTATAAGCCCTACAAGCCAAACAGTAGGCCAAAGCCGTCAACCTCTTAAAGTCTTATAAACCCTCTGCACCCTGAAACCCTACCCCCTCACACCCTACCCCCTCAGCCCGAAGCCCTGAGCCCCTAAGCCCCTAAGCCCTAAACCCTAAACCCTAAACCTCAGCTCTTCAACCCCCTCCGTGCACAAGCCCGAGGACATGGCGCTACATGAAGGACGGCCCCCGGACGCCGCGGCCAGGGGCCCAAGTTGCACCTTTTAGGGTTTAGGGCTTATAGGGCTTAGGGTTTAGAATCCTAAGTCTCTCAAAACCTGTAACCCTACATCCCTAAAACCCTAAACAACCCGAAAGCCCGAAGTCCCTAAAAGCCCTAAGTCTTTCTCCAACCCTTACCCCTATACCGAGTTCAGGGAAGTGTTTTTGGACCTTTGACTCTCAGGAACCATCCAGCTCCCGCCGCAAGCACCAACCTCTTAAGTCCAATTCCCCTTGAACCCTAAATCACTGAAACAGGAGTTTCCAAAAAATTCGGGCCCCCCCCCCCCCCCCCTCTTTTTTCAGATCCCCTGTGCAAGGATACTCAAAGCAGGACCCCCCGCCCTCCCCTCCAATTTTTTCGGAAAGGCCTTGGCCCACGCCAGGTCTTGATTTTGTGTGGGGCTCGGGGCATCAACTTCTACAAGGAGGAAGGCGTGGAGAGTGGGACACTTAGGGTGTTTGCGATTGAATTGGGGGGTTGTTCGAAAATTGGGCTACCTTTGTGCGGGCTTTAGTTATGAGGACTCAATATTCATAAAGGGCACTATAGACTGAGGGACTCTAATTGCAAGTGGGTTTATTCTTCCAACAAAGCCTTTCGCAGTGACATAGCTGCGGGAAGTGGGCTAGGACAATTCGGTATCCTGAAACCCTGGATCCCGAAACCCAACCCTCAAGTACGAAAACTATACATATACATGCTACATTTTTGTATATATGTACATAAATGGACACAGGGCCAGCTCTGCCAAGGCCCTCGAAAGCCCTCAAGCCAAACCCTTTTTCCCTGCTTAGAAAAGCTTCTAAGGCGCCATTCTCCGAGATGTTTGGGGCTGTGATGTTCCTACGGCCTCGACCCAAGAAGTATCGCGCACACCATGTGGCGGCTCTGGAGAGGTTTCATGGCTTTAGGATCCGCGCTTCAGATGTTGAGGGTGCCTGGTTGTTTAAAGAATTGAAAAAAGGCAACAAACAGCATAAGACCACGACGACGGCGCATGGCAAGTGGCAGTCACAGGAGCACGGTCACGTCCCTGCGACGACGCTTGGCCCACGGAGTGGTCGAATTGTGCAATTGAAGTGCATGGATTTAGACCCCACAATGCGCGCAGGACCTGTGCGGCGAGAGTGCGATTAGCCACGTCGGCAATCCCAAAAACCCGCATTCTTTTCCATGAAAACTGCGACAGTGAGCTGCCACGCCCGCCACGCCCACCTAGGGGGAGCGCGGTCCTACAGAACATATGGACTTACATTACAGTCTTACATATATAACTTATACCCGAGTTACGCAACTGATAACTCAGATACAACCAACGTGTAACGATCTTGTGTCCCCACGGCTGTGGCCGTGGAGAGGGCGCAGCCGGCGCACACCTACTAGACGGCCTCTGCGTGCATCCATACCCCTTTGCTGTCCGGTCCAACAGTAGTGTTGCCACACTGCTTCCGAAGCCAAGCTCTAAGCCCTGCAACAAGCCCAAACCACTATATGACAACCTCTAAACCCTATATTGCAATCTAAAGCCCTAGAATTACAACCCAAAATCCTGTTTAATAAACCCTATGACATTATATTCTTACAATCTCGAAATACAGTACTAACCCCAAGCCCTATTTAATTTGGGGTTTATGGTTTAGGGTTTTGCCTATTGTATATTACAACCTCAACCCCCGAGCCAGGTCGGCTTCTTCGCAGGCGGCGAGTTTGGACCCGTTGGGCTCAGGACTGAAGTTTGCTGAGAATCGGGTTTTGGGTTTAGGGTTTGGGGTTTAGGGTTTAGGGTTTATTGGGGTTTAGGGTTTGGGGTTTAGGGTTTGGGGTTTAGGGTTTAGGGACGAGGGATTGGGGGCGTTGGTTTATAGGGTTCAGGGTTCACGGTTCAGGGGCTTTGGTTTGTATGGTTGAGGGTTTTGGGTTTAGAGGGGTTTGATTTGCAGGGCTTTTCTTGGGTTGGGGTTTGAGGGCTGTTCCGGTTGGGGGTTGAGGCTTCGGTGTTAGGGTTTGTACGGTGCAGGGTTTAGGTTTATGGTAGAGGGTTGGGGGGTTAGGCTTCATGCTGCGGTGCCGTGGTCAGAGTTCACTGTTTTGGTTTCATACTTCAGGGTTTAGGATTTAGGGTTGAATCTGGGCGGTTGGGTTGTTGATGGTGTTTGTTAGGGTTTTTTGAGGGGCTGGGGCTGATGGTTTGGGTTTGACGTGGAAACAGGGCTTTCATAAGGCCTAGAATGCTTCATGACTCTTGCAGTAGCGAGCAGGATCATGGTCCCTAAGCTCCGCACCCAACGAAACTGAGAAGGACCTACCTGCACTCCTACACCACATCCTGCCTCTTCTTGCGACTGTGTGAGACCTGCCATGTTTAAGAATCAGTTTCTTGGCAGCGAGGATTCTGCATAGGGCTTAGGGTTGAGGATACCTCAGCCTCGGAAACCGTATTCTGTACGATATACCTTGTATATCCCATACATCACGGCAGCTTAAATTCAAGTCTTTTGCACATGGGACTGGGACAGGAGGCGGAAACTTGACAGCTTTTGGGTGCAATCGGGGTTGGAGCGCCGTTGCGGACTTGATGCTTCGTCGTGTTCCTGGCCTGAGGCTCCTTTAGAAAAACAGGACCTCACGCTGCTGACGCTGAGGTCAACAGAGCTTTTCCAGGAGGTTACATGCTCTAGGCCTCTGGGCGGCTTACTTTTGGGTTGTATTGCCCTGGGTCGTTTTGTGTTGCAGCCAGTACGCTCTTGCCCGAAGCAACAGCAGCAGCAACGGCAGCAGACACCTGCGATGCGCCTCCCACTCGAGCGCTGCGCCGTGGTGACGGTTGCTATGTTCGTGCCTGGCATGGTGCGGGCGCCCAGCAGATCCCTAAGCCCCAAACCCTAAAAATTGAGAGTTTGAACCGCGATGAGATGTTCCCATGAAGCCACCAGTATTGGACGCCAGAGAGATGGAGAAGGGTTGATAGGGTCCGCAAGCAGAGAGGAGAAGCGCTTAGGGCTTGTTGGGATTAGTCCTTCTCCTAATATCGAACCCCTCGCAAAAGACTGGATAATCTCCCCATGTACATCCATGTACTCTAAATAGACCATACTGGGGATACCTGACTTTGGGAGGGATGTGGGAAGGGGGTAAAGATTACGGGGAGGGGTTTAGGGAAAGTTCCTGAACTACAGGGCTTAAATGGGCTGGGTTGAGTTCTGTAAAGTTGGGGGCCTTTTCGGAAAATTTGTGCATGGCATTGCTGGGGGACTTAGGTGTTCATGTTGTGATTGTGGGTCACTGAAAGGTTTGTCTGCAACTGCAACTTTGTCAGCTGTAGCCGGACCCTTCCAAACGTTGAAGGGGCCGGAGGGTAGGCTCATTTGTTTCAACTGTCTCGGGGCGGGGGGGGGGGGGGGGGGGGGGGGGGGGCATGGTATAGAAGGTGCAAGGAAGGCCCACAGCATAGGCACTTTCTTAGCCCTTACTGCATCTGTTCATCTGACTTGCAAGGCTTGCTGGATTGAGGATTCGTGGCTTCGGGGGTGTGGGATTTGCAGAGGTTCTAAGGTGTCCGTGAAATGTCGAAGTACCCCCAAGCCTAAAGCAGCGTTCCAAGCGTCAATCCCCGACAGGCACCCCGAACCTGAAAGACGCTCAAGAAAAATAGGCAAGCCTCACAGCACCCCGTAGCTTGAGCCCTCAACGAATTAGGGACATCTTCAAGAGCCTGGGAAGACTTCTACGTGGGTTTTGTGGAGACAACCCGCCCTTAAAAAAGGGGTCGGAAGAATGACTAATAGTGTTCCCTTATGGCCCCTTTAGAATTATACTACACACCCCCCCCCCCCCCCCAAACAAAAAAAAGAGCAGTAAATAAAACCTATTCTACTTATTAAGCCCCCCTAAATAAGGCCTTTGCGCCCTCCCTGCCGGAGCCAGTGCGCCGAGCTTGCAGTGTCTTCTGCGAAGGCTGGTGGTTTTGCAGGGTGAGGAACCTCACTGATCTTTTTAGGGTTCAGGGTACATTTTTAGGGTTTAGGGGTTTTAGGGTTTGGGGTTTGGGGTTTGGGATTTATGGGCAAGTTTTGGGTGGGCCCTATGAGGTTTGCCCGAAACTAATCCCAAGCCCCAAGCGCAGGCAGGTAGGAGGCGTTAAGCTTGACCTTACTCTTTCAGAATGGCGGCAGCGACTCTGATGGAGTCAGAAGAACGTGCTCAGGGGCGGCGGTGTACCCTAAACCCTAAACCCTAAACCCTAAACCCTGGTTGTGGGTTTAGGCACTTCAAGGGAGGTGGGCATGGGCAAGCTGGGTCAGGGCCGCCCTCGTTTGCAGCAGAGCTTGGCACCTCAAACCACAGAGCCTTGAAACTCTAAACCATCCTGGTTAGGGTTTATGGTTTATTTAGGGTTTAGGGTTTAAGGTTTAGGGCTTCAGGGGCAGCGAGGGTTATTCACCAGGCTTTGCCAATGCTGCCTGAAGGGGCTGCTTGACAGGTGAGCTGCTGGACACCATTCAGCGTGCGCGGCTGTTCGAGGACTGCATCTGCTTCTTGTGGTGAGGGGCTCAACTGCAGCCAGGATCCTTCCCAGCCGCGTTTAGTAGGCCAAGCTTATAAAACCCAGGGGGGCCATGTCAGGTCGGCTGGTCCGCCGTGGCATTTAGGGTTTAGCGTTTAGGGTTTAGGGTTTAGGGTTTAGCTTGCAACATGCCAACTCGTCACTCCCAGCTCCAAGCGTTTCCGAAGCTTGAGATGAAGTTTGGCCTCAGTGTGAGAGGTGAGGCAGACTGCCCTCAGTAGATGCTCCAGGTAGAGTTTCAAAAGCTAGGCTCGGATGCATCTAGCTGATCCATCGTCGGGGTGCGGGGTTCGAGAAGGTGGGTAAGACGTCGCATCACCGCCTTCGCTCTGCTTGCACAAAAAGGGCTGGAAGTCCGCCGTCTGGTTCTTGGGCCACTTCTGCAGGGTGTGCCTAAGGCCTTTGAAATCCTAAAGGCCTAAACCCCTTAAACCATCAACCCCCAACGCCCCAAAGGAGGGACAAACATCGCAATAATTGCCCGACAGGATTCCAAGACCTTCGTCGACAGACCTCTCCGCCACTAGTTTAAAATTTGAGGTTTCCGTGCTCGAAGACTCTTGCAGTCCCTACAAGCCCTGGATCCTGTCTTTGGCACTTCAGGCGTCGAGCCGGAAGAGGCCTTGGAGGCCGGAAAGAAGTTCGGATTCAGAGCTTCAAGAAGTATGCTGTGGTGGCGGTGTCGACTTGAGCAGCACGGAAGAAGCCTTTGCGGGCTGCAAGGCCTTCAAGAAACTCCCGGACAAGAACGACACCAAGGCTTTGCGGGCCTTCGTGGAGACCTACTTCGAGGCGGTTTAGGGTTTAGGGTCTAGGGTCTAGGGTTTAGGGTTTAGGGTCTAGGGTCTAGGGTCTAGGGTTTAGGGCTTAGGGTTTAGGGTTTAGGGTCAGGGTTGAGGGTTTCGGGCTAAGGGTTCAGGTTTCCTGAACGCCCTGCTTATGTGTTGCCCAAAACCCAATGCGTGTTTTCACTCGGTCTTCAGGCAGAACTCGAATCCTAACACTTGGTACACTTCTCGGATTTACGCGTGTCGAGAATTCAAATTTAAGCGCAAGCCCGAGTAGGTTTTGGGGGCCAAGCCCTACGTGGCCCCCTATCCCGAGATCCTTTCCTCTCTCCCTCCATATATACATATGTTTATGTATATATATATATATATTTATTTATTTATTTATTTATTTATATCTCCTAAGCCCAAACCCTAGAATTACTCTCGGTCCCAAACCCTCTATGCCCTTTATGAGGCCTAAACCTGGCCACTTCCAAGTCCAAAACCCCTGCAAATTCCATGGCCTCCAACCTCCAAAGCTTTAGATGCCCTAGGCCCTAATTACAGGGGGGTAGCATCCCGCGCATGAGAATGCGGGAAGGGTCGGAATTCCGAGCTTCTTCATAGTGTTTGGGATGAAGGACTTAGAGTTTATACGGGTTTAGGTTCAGGGGTTGGCAGACTAGGTCCCAAACACGAGGTTTGGCAGTCTGCACCTGCAGGGATCTCAAGAGTCTTAGACCCCCCGACTAGGAACCGTGAAAGCCCACAAGCCCGACCAAGTTGGCCTTGTGAAAAACCTTCTGAAGAGCCCTTTAAACTTCAACCCCCCCCCCCCCCCAAACCCTTACAAACCCGTTCAGCCCTAGAAGCCTGCAAAAATGCTCTTCAAACCCTCTGTCCAACCACATCGAAGGCCGAGGGTCAAGAGCTGGAGCCCTTTGCGCCCCCCGACCATGCGCCCAACCCAGCCCAGCTGGTCAAGCTGCCAGACGAGGCCATCGGGTTCAGGGCACTTATGGGGTCTGGAGGGCTTGTAGGGCTTGCAGGTATGTAGAGTCAGGGTTTATCCGGCTTTTTGGCTTCTGATTCAGGGTCTAGAGGGTTTAGGGTTCCAGGTGTTTCGGGAGCTTAGTGCGGTTGATTTCGGGTTTAGGGGTCCAAAATCGTGAAACTGGAGTCGATGTACCTGCCTTTCATTCTAGCATGGGCGCCAAGATAGAAGACTTCTTCCGAACATCCATCATCCTAACATCCCCAACCTCAGAAAGAAGGCTCTGTTTTTGCAGAGGGCATTGTGAGGAGAATGACTGAGTCTGGATGCTCTGCGGGACTCTTTTTTGGGTGCACTCCTAGGATGCATCTGCAGGATTCGACGCAGGGATACTACCTTAGGATGTTCTGAGGCGGCTCTTTTGTGTTTTTTGTCGATATAGAAGCCAAGGGGATGTATATATACCCCAAACCCGGAACCCGAAAACCCTAAGGGGGGTATAGCGTAGAGCAGCTCTCAACAGCAGGGCCCCACAAGCTGAGGCGCTACGGCAGTGGGCTCTTGGTCTCCACCAGCTCTGGAAGGAGCTTTGGGTTCAGGGTTTTAGGGGTTTAGGGTTTAGGTTTTGGGTTTGGGGTTCAGGGTTTAGGGTTCAGGATTTAGGGCTTCGTTTGGGGTTCTGGTTTTATGGGTTGACGGTTCAGGGTTTGACTTATGAAATTGAAAGAACTTACTGTAGACATGCGAAAATGAGGTTGAGTAGCATATGAGCATGAAGACGATGCCGAGGGTGTGTATGGTGACTAGTAAAGACTCTGGAGGGGGGCCCGGGCCTGGAGCCAGAGAGGTAATGCGAACTGTGTTTTTTTGGTTCTGTGTATTCAAACGAGCCACTCTGCTTTACACACGTTTTTGCGAACACCCTGGCCATCGGACTTTGGCAGGGTTGGGGCTAGGGTTTTTTTGGTAGCTGCTTGGAGTTCGTGACTCTTCGGGACATTGCCTTTGCATCTTTCCCAGGACCTCCAAAAACTTCCCTACGACAATGCGGGGGGGGCTTCACCCATCATGACATGTGCTCGAAACGACTTGTCCAACTGTGCTTGAGAGCCTCGTTGGGAAGGACATCATCTCTACATCCACCAACAGCCCTCTAACACGCATCTCGTCGGCTCAACATGTTTCATAGTATGATCTCTGGACCCGAAAACCAGGAAACAAGCGTCCTCAGGCCCTGAGGGAAGTACAACGTAGAAGGTTTGCGAGGACCTTACAGAACCCCTAAACCGTACAGGGTAACCCTAAACCCTAAACCCTTCTAAGCCCTAAACCCGAAGGACCTTTGCCGAAAGCAGCGTCCGGCCGTGGCCGATGCAGCCCAGCGTCACTCGGCCCTTCCGCAGCGCTTCGCCAGCGTGGCGACTCGGTGGCGCTTCTTCTTAATGGGCGGGAGTGAGGGTATATTCATGGGAGCTGGGGCTTACATGGGGATTTTAGAGCTTCGGGATGTTGAGAATTTGTGATGGGAGTGGAAGAGTGAATCCTTTCGCACCAACAAGCCTGTGGCGGTCTTGATCAAGTTGAGAGCTACTCGTAGAGCGTGAGGGTGGTGCTCGTAGGATTCGTAGGGGTTTGGGGTTTAGGGTTTAAAGGTTTAGGGTTTAGGGTTTAGGGTTTAGGGTTTAGGGTTTAGGGTTTAGGGTTTAGCGTTACACAGCATCTCTTTGGTAGTTGACGAGGTTCCCGGAGGCAGATTCCGCGAGACCTACTATTGGGACACTTGGCCTGCACTGGACCATGTAGCTCTCATTACTCACAGCTGATGTTTGGGAAGCTGGTGCATAATATACAATATAGGGATCGGAATAATTACGAATTGTTTCCCTTATGGTCCCTTTATGGTAGTACTACTACTACTACAACCCCCGAAACCCTATTCTAATAATTAAGGCCCCTTATATTACTCAAGATGCTGATCTCCGAAGATTAGTCTGCAAAGCCTGCATGAGGGTTGGTGCTGTCGCAGGCATTGCGAATGCTTCATGTGAGCGCAGACAGGACACGTATTGGATCGTCCGTGGTCTCCTGCTGAGCGGCATGAACGACACAGCAAAGGGTCCTGTGGCTGAAGGGAATGTGGGTTAAGGGACTACACTGAAAGTGCTACATCGTACGGGGCAGACAGCAGCTGTTCGGAAACAACTGGGACTGTAGTGACCGTAATTAGTCAGTGCGGAGTAATTAGCCGCACAGCGTCTGCAAGCCTGCTTCAAGTCATCATTGCTGCTGAAGCGATGCAGGGCAGCACTGAGTGAGACTCAGGTGTTGTTGAGAACCTGCTCGACTATGTGCGGCACTTCGGTTTTGTGCCCAATGGCGGCCGCATTTACTACCTGGACAGGCCGCATTGGGCTTTCGCTTTGTTGAACACTTCAACTCGGAACGCGGCTGTGGGTTTTGCTGGATGAGTCCCGAATTCTTCAAGTCTGAGATTGTTTGCCTCAGGTCCCAGCCACCTATGCTGGCTGAGATGGTCCAAGCAGTTTTCGAGGCAGGGCTGTGCTGACGTATGTTGCCTTTGTCGCGGCACCTCGTGTCATTCTATTTTGTTCACGCGGTAGGACTATGGTAGGACTGCGACATCTACAAAAGGCAAACGTTCTTAAATTCGACTCTGGCTTGTTCTGGGCGCCTCCCTGGTGTTGACATTTTACTGCAAAGGCCACGGCCCCAACAAAATGATACTCGCAATAAGCAGCTACCACACCCTCAATGGCAGCGTTCTGTTCTATACCTACACCCTACATCCTACACACGAAAGAACCCCCTAAACCTTGATCTTATCATTCATGAATCGTTAGAAAATTAAGTCCCAGCGCGCCAGGTCTCTGCCGATGACACGTGGCTCCGTGAGGCACATCCCAGTGTGTGTAATAGGGAGTAGTAGGGTTGAATCCGCGCCACAGGTAGGCCCGGACACCCAAAAACTCCATAAACCCGATAAACCCTGAACTCTAGAAACCCCCAGCCTTCACAGAAACCCTAAACCCCGAAACCCTAAACCCTAAACCCTAAAGGTTCTCCCGGTCCTGGAAGACGAGTACCGATTCTGGATGGACCCAGCCTTGGGCCACTTCCTCCCAGAACTTGGCCTGAATGTTTCTTGGAGGCATGCGCGCTGGGGACCTTCACTCCCTTTCTTTTGGTCTGAGTGGGGGGTTGGGGTTCGGGTTTACATGCTACGCATGCTAGGTTACATCCACATGTTCGCGACTCCGCGACTCCACAGCATGTTCACCGGAACAAAAAGCTCTATTTCGTACAGGTGGAGTCCTGGTGTGCTAGGAGTCTAACGGGGATGGGGGCGTGGCCTTGCCATGCGTGCATGTGTTTGCTGATGCCTCTGGGTCGTGGGTCGAACTTTCGTCCTACCTGAATAGGGTTTGGGTATTTATTAGTGAGGTGTTTGGGGGCTTGGGGTTTGGAGAAGGGCTCAAGTCCTAAACCCTAAAGCCAGACGCCAGCTGGGAGAACCTGCCTCGGCTGACGGGTCTAGAATGCCCAGTAGTATCCCAATACCCGTTTTAGGGTGCTAGGTTCCGGTTTATCAACCTGACTTAGCGCGAGAAGCCCTATCCTGATTATGTGTAAGCCCAACCCCTGAGCGCATTTAGTAGTCAGAGTAATTGTAGAAAGACCCTTAACCCTGAACCTTAACACCATTTGAAGAACAGCTAGTTGCGAGGTCTTCAGCTCCAGTGGACGAACGCCCCGACCCGAGTCGTACGCAGAGGCATGGAGCTCCTACGCAGGGTGGGGAGGTTTCGGGGGGCTTTAGGGTTTGGGGTTTCGGGGTGTAGGGGTTTAGGGGTTGAGGGGTTGAGGGGTTTAGGGGTTTAGAGGTTTAGGGGTTTAGGGGTTTAGGGGTTTAGGGGTTTAGGGGGGTGACATGATTTCTGCCACATAGCTTCTCAGGGGCCGATGGTATGCGCGACAAGCCTTCTCAATCGTGTGCTTCCCTCCTATGCTTGCCCTGCCTGCAAATCCCTAAACCCTAAGCTCTAAACCCAGGGTCTCAGGCGAAAAAGACCAGGAGCCGACATGTCACCCCTTTTTTTGTTGTAGGCTTATTTAGGGTTCCCCTATTTCAGGTTGGCCCTCTCAGCAATACGTAGCTTGCAGCAGAGGGTCGGGGACCTGGGTCAGGATTTGGTTCCCCTTCTACTAACAATGATAGCACTCCCGATTATAATCCCTATCTTATTAGGACTGTTGGTATAAGGGGGGGGCACATCTTAGACCCCCCTGACAAGAGGATGTGGCAACCGCGGAGCACGCCAAGGAGTTCGGCCGTGAGGCAGCCGAAGTCTATCACGAGCTCAGGCCAGGAATCAAGCTGGGAAGGGGCAGACGGCTTTGGGCTTGTTTAGGGTTTAGGGTTTAGGGTTGTTTAGGGATTAGGGTAGATTTAGGGGTTTAGGGCTTAGGGTGCAGCATTGGCCAGCTGAAGGCGGTGCCTTGAAGACGCGACCACCCCGACACTGCCCAACACTAGTACCTACTCAAAGCGAGCAGAACCAAACCCGAACCAAAGCAGCCGAACCGAATACTTGAGACTCAGCATTGAAGGCCTTTGTGGACCCGGTGCCAGATCTAAGAACTTCAGTAGTGGGTTCAGGGCGGCTTCGATGGGGACACGTTAGGTTCGGCAGGGCCTTGAACTTTTCTCGCAAGCAGACTGCAGACACGCATAGCCACGACTGGATCCTTAGTCAAACAGCTAAACCATTAAGATGCCCGCATGCATAGCTCTTGGCGGCTTACTGCAGGATCTAACAGCTGATACGGGTTTTCGCAGGTCAGGCCTTGGGGAAGTGTCGCGGGTGCATCAGGAGAGGCCTGAGGACGACAGGGATTGTGAGGGCCCCGCAACCTCGGAACAAAAGCAAAGTGGGGCTTACAAGGGACTGCTGTCCCAAGGGCTGTCCCAAGGTACTTTGACAGCATCCTGAACCCCAATCCCCCAGGCTCTACATCCCATCAGAATCCCTAAGCATCCCTAAGCTTAGGGTTTAGGGTTTAGGGTATAGGGATTAGGGTATAGGGTTTAGGGTTTATAGGGCTTAGGCCTAAACCTCATTGGCCTGGTTGCCAGGTCAGGAGCCGAAACCGGCTGGGACTTCTCCTCGCGCTGGCTGCAGCGTGCGTCTCGGGCCCCCTGGATCCCACACCCTTATTGAGGCTTGAATTCGTGTTTGGGGTTTAGGGTTTAAGGTTTAGGGTTTGGGGTTTAGGGTTTAGGGTTTAGTGTTTAGGGTTTAGGGTTCAGGGTTCAGCATCTCAAGTCCAAGCATTCACTAGTCAAGGAATTACTCCAGAAAAATACACACCCGCCCAAAGAATCCCACAACATTAAGAATTTCACCTATGGAACGACCTTGCCCACTAAAAAATGACCTTGCCCAGTAAAAAGATGAAAAAAATGACCTTGCCCAGTAAAAAATGACCTTGCCCAGTAAAAAAAAACTTGCCCAGTAAAAGAGTTACTGGGCAAAGTGTTTTTTTGCCGGGCAAGGTCATTTTTTTACTGGGCAAAGTCATTTTTTACTGGGCATGGTCGTTTATTGGACCGAAAGACCTTGCCCAGTAATAAAATGACCTTGCCCAGTAAAAAGAGGGCCTTGCCCAGTAACTCCCCCAACATTTAAATTACACATGAAAGAGAGGTTTAGGGTTTAGGGTTTGGGATGTAGGGTTTAGGGTTTAGGGTTTAGGGTTTATCATGGGACTCTGCCTTGAATCCGCACCCCAAGGTTGTGCCCTTGGGTTTGGGGACTTGAAGATCCCTAAATGGATATATGGGCCATGTGGGGGAGTAGAGGAAGGGAAACCTTAAGGGGTACAACCTTACTCCCTTGAGTTTAGGGTTCAGGGATGCTCGGGTTTTGGGGATGTTAGGTTTAGGAATGCTCGGGCTTTGGGGAAGGTTTTGTTGCTTTCTACTCTTGCGTACTTCAAGAGCCCTCGTGAAAGAAGGTTGGGGAATGGTGATATAGTGTGCATGGCTGAGCGTTCTCGAGGGGGATATTTGAACTGTTGTTTTGTGTTTGGAAGGGGGTGATAGGGAGTTGCTTCAGACTTCGAGGGTTAAGGATTAAGGATGGGGTGGCGGGGGGTTTTCAGCCCTAACTCCCAGCGAATGGGGGATTTAGAGTTTCCAGCCAGGGTTCCTTGCCATACATTCTGTTTTGGATTTGGCAAGTTCAAGCGGTTCTTGTCAACCAAGAGATCTCGAGGACTCCGCGAGTCTTTCTGAGTCGTGACGATTCACAAAACACCCAGTATTCCACGCTCAAACCGTAACACGCACCGGCCCCTCGACCCTAAGCCTTAAACCCTGAGACCCAAAGGAAGACGGATCAACAGAGCTCGCCACGATCAATGCCAGCAAGGTCGTGCCTGTGGACTTGAACTGCTCCTTGGACGTGACCTCAACGGTTTCGGGGGTTGTAAATATAAATATAAATATAAATATAAATATAAATATAAATAAATAAATAAATAATATATATATATATATATATACATATATATATATTGGGATGTAGGGTCTAGGGTTTAGGGTCCAGGGTGAAACCCGGCACTGGCGCAAAGCACAGCTTCCTTCGTGACCCTTTCGATCCTGCACCTTCCCAACCCTGGCCGCCGGGAAGCTCATCAGCCAGCGACCCTGAACCCTTATTTAGAAGGCCTGCGGCTCAACTCAGGGGCGGGGTAGGGGGGGAGGAGGGAGGGGGGGGGGAACCTCATGAGATTCTACCGAAGTTTTTCCGCAGCTGGGGGTCCGAGGCATTCTCCTCCGCCTGGAGCGTCGCCTCGCAACCTTTGCGAGGCACCTGGGCGACAAGGATCGCGCGGCTGCACTGGAGGCCTGCTGAGGGGTTCAGGGCGCCTGCCTTCCTAGATGCCTGCGTGGCAACAGCCTGAACACCAAGCCGCGACTGCCAGACACAACGGTGTCTGAGTACTCAGCTCGAAAAGTTGCGGTCCACTTTGGGTGGGGTACCCTGAATGTAAGGGCCGTAAGACAACAAAACCCGAACAACATCACAAAAAAAGAGAACTGACCCAACCACATGGACCCTGAATCTCCCCAAGCCCCTCACTCTACCTGACACTTCCTGGCTGCTTATGAGGGCCTAGCCTTTAAAGCCCTAGGCCTTGACTCTACTAAGCCTCAAACCCTGTATGCCCCAAACGTCCGAAGCAGCCAACTCCAAGCCCTTTAACAGGCCCTTTTCGAAGCCCAAAACCCAGATGGGTGGTTGTCAAAATTAGGGCCCCGTTTTTGGACACCCTAAATATTAGGTGCCGGATTATATGAGGGACCCCAAAAGGGACCATAATTTTGACAACCACCCAGATATGTCCTGAAACCCCAACTCCCAGCCCAGGATCCCCAAGCCCCTAAACCCCAGGATCCCTCATTCGGTCCCTAACCCCAGGATCCCCCTAAACCCTAAACCATCCTAAACCCTATATATCCTAAAACCCTATACCCTATAACCCTATAACCCTGTAAACCCGACACCCTATAAACCCTAAACTCCCAAAACCCTAAACGCCTGCAAAGGCTGCTGCGGAGCGCCGTGGAGCCGCCATGGACCGCGACCAATCTTGCGCTTAGAGAGAGAGAGGTGTGTAGGGTTTTGGGTTTTGGGTTTAGGTTTTAGGGTTTGGGGTTTAGGGTTCAGGGTTTTTCAGAGTTTAGGGTTTAGGGCTTTGCACGGTGCATAAGAGCTTATGGGCATTAGGGCAATTATATAAGGCTTGGATGCCTTGCAGAGGGCCTACAGGATTTGGGATGTTTAGGGGTTGGCTTTGCAACCAGTCAGGACCTTCGCAAGCAAGGCTTGTACCCTGCGACAAAGAAACCCTCCAACCCCCAGCGCATTCGACCCTGTATCCCAGGCCTACAGTAGTATGGTCCCTTTAAAACTGACCTTCTTTAAAGGGTTCTGATGTATGAGTATGGGCCCTTGGGTTGTATGGGTTAGTAAGGGGGTACATAAGGGGTGCCCAGGGTTGCACTGCAACCTCGAAAACCCTGAACACAAAGCTCCACACCATCAAGCCCTAAACCTTCCAAACTCTATAAACCTTAACCCCTAAGCTATACAAACCCTAAACCCTAGACCCTAAACCCTAAGCCCTAAACCCTAAACCCTAAACCCTAAACCCTAAACCCTAAACCCTAAACCCTAAACCCTAAACCCTAAACCCTAAACCCTAAACCCTAAACCCTAACCCTAAACATTATAAACCTGAAGCCCCAGGTCTACTTTGGTCTGATGCACTGGGCAGCTATCGGGACCTCCGCTGCATGGCTGCGGCTTCGGGGGTTGAGCTGTAGCCCCCCAGACGGAAGGCCCGATACGCCTTAAGTTAAGTCCGTAAACTCCTGTTTAGGGTTTAGGATTTAGGGTTTAGGGTTAATAGTGTTTAGGGTTTAGGGTTTAAGGACTTTAGGGTTTAGGGTTTAGGGAATAAACCTGAACTCTAACAGCCCCGAACCTGAACCCCTCCTGCATGACGATAGTATGCCACCGCAACCGCACAGCAGATTCTTTCGGGCCCAGTAGCGCGCTTGTTCATTTCCGTCGAAGGAACTCAACCCCAAACCTCAAAGCCTTAAACCCTTCTAGCCCTAAACCTACCCGAAGCCCACGAGGCCTGGACACTGGCAAACCGGCTACGGTCCCATCGCTTTCGGACTTTGCGGCCCCATTGTGGGCAGGTCCCCACGGCCCAATGCGTGTTAGGGGTTTCTGCTAAGCTTAGGGTGCAGGGTTCAGGTTTGGGGTAGAATTACCGTTGAAATAGTGGGTCTCTCTCTGGTCCAGGCCTATTTTCCAGGCACAGGGCCAGAGATACTGTAGGTAAACCCCTTGTAGCCCCAAAATGACAACTGCCCGTGCTGTCCGAATCCCAAACTCCACCGCCCCACCCGCCCTCGGTGAGGTGCGGGGGCATTGCGTGAAACCCAACATGCCACACCGCTCCAACTAACACCCCAGGCCCTGGGCCCGAATCTCGTCTAAGACCGGAAGCCAGGAAATTACCAGCCCGGAACCCTTGTACCTAAATCCATATTATTGAACTTGTCTTTGGTTCCTTGACAGAGACCTGCCCTGAACCTCTTCCTGAACTCCTGAACTCCTGAACCCTGAGCACCGACCCATAAGCTGTACAAACATTCCCAAAACCCCGAAAACCTCCTTAAAGGCCTAAACCCTCAACCGCCTACAACCCAAAAGCCCCCTGAAGCCCCAAACAGTGCAAACCCCAGGCCTAGGCGGTCGCAACCCAGAAGCGCTCCTCACGTCACTGCGCGAGAGCGGCCTCTTGCAGGCCAGGGGGGGGGGGGGGGGGGGGGGGGGGGGGTTGTTCTGTGATCACAGTCGTGCTCTGTTCCCTCCTTACCCAACTAGTAACGAGCTGTGTAGTAGTAGTATCAAAATATTAACCTTCAGCGCCGAAGGAGTTTAGGGTGGAGAAGTGTGTGTGTGTGTGTGTGTCAGGATTTAGGGCTTAGGGCTTGGAAGGGTGTAGGGGTTTCGGGTCCTTGGGTCCAGGCAGCTGTGCCGGGAGCTGAACCTCGCTTGGGTAAAGCAGACCGAAGTGGTTTAGGGTTTAGGGTTTAGGGTTTAGGGTTTAGGGTTTAGGGTTTAGGGTTTAGGGTTTAGGGTTTAGGGTTTAGGGTTTAGGGTTTAGGGTTTAGGGTTTAGGGTTTAGGGATTGCAAAACACAAGAGTCACTTGCGCGCTCGTTAATGGTTGTAGCTATCTGAAAGCAGCATCTGCAGATGACCATGAACGGTGCGGTAGATACTCTGGTACTTAGGTGAGACGATCCAGAATGGAGAATCGGTTGGGGATCTTTGCGAATATAACGGGGGTCTGTCGAGCTCCGCCCCTTCTTACCTTGCTTTCTGCGGAGGGCTCCTTACCTGAATTGCTGAGAGCCACCCATCTCTTGCTGGGACTACGCCCCAGACCTGACAGCCCATGTGGGGGTTGATCCAAAGGTCCTTCTTGGGAGATTATTTAGGGCTTGTTGGTTTGTAAGGGACATATATAGGGTGTTTTTGGGAACAGGTCTTTTGATCAATTCCCATGTAGATCCAAGCGCCACTCCACGCATGCAAAGCGCGAGAGCGTTGCTTAATTCGGCGGGAGGTTTCGAGTTCATAGATGGATGCCCAGTTATGCCCCTATTCCCTTCTTAGTGGTTTGGTTCTCCTATACACGCCCCGTCAAAGACCACAAAGTTTCCTGTGGAATGCTAAGCCCTATGTATAAACACCCTAAACCCTGGACCCTAGCCCCTAAACCCTAAACCCTAAACCCTAAACCCTAAACCCTAAACCCTAAACCCTAAACCCTAAACCCTAAACCCTACAGACATATAAGCACCCGAACACCTAAAGCGGAACCTATCGGTTGTCGCTCAGCTGGGAGGCCGGCGGCGCCGCGACGACGACTCTGCAAACCGGAGAGCAGTGGGATGCGCCGCGCCTTGGCGAAACAGATTTCAAAGTTAGGGTTTAGGGTTTACGGTTTAGGGTTTAGGGTTTGGGTTTAGGGTTAGGGTTTAGGGTTTGGGGTTTAGGGTTAGGGCTACTTGTTTCTGGGTTGCGTTTAGGGTTTCGGGTTTGGGAGTGCTTCGGGTTTCAGACTTCTCGATTCGCCGGGTGCACCCGCAACTTCAAGAAATCCGAAGTTAAAACTTGAAAGCCCTCGACATCAGGCCCTTTCTTGAGATGATTGTTAATTGAGCCTTATAGATATACTCCGGGCTAATCGGCGACCCCTTCAACAGCGGGTGGCGCAGAAGCGACCCGGGCTTAGGGTTTAGGTCACGGGTGGCCCTAAACCCTGCACCAAATGTCCGCATTTCCCCCTGAACCTTGCCATAAGCCCCAGGCCCCAAACCCTACAAACCCTCCCTCATAACCTTACACCCTCGGAACCTTCTCCCCTACGAACCCTAGAAACCCTGGAAGCCCCTAGAAAGGACCCGAAACCCCAGACCCTACCCTGAGCCCCAAACCCTAAACCCCAAAACCCCTAAACCCTAAACCCTCACACCTAAAACCCTAAAACCCAAACCCTAAACCCTAAAACCCTAAACCCCAACCCTTTTCGAGGAACGCCTGGGCGCCCTTGCAGCTGATGCTCATTGAGGGCCTCGAGACGCTGAGCCAGAGAACCGGTCCAACGGCTCTAGGCCTTCCTGCTCGGGTTTAGGGTTTAGGGTTTAGGGTTTAGGGTTTAGGGTTTAGGGTTTAGGGTTTAGGGTTTAGGGTTTAGGGTTTAGGGATAGTGCTTAGGGTTTATGGGGCTTGAGGTTGAGGGTTGTATCACTCTTCTACTAGCAAACTCGCGAAATTTTGGGATCATTCATGTGCGTTCGCAAACTCACGAATTCAACATTTATTTCTATTACAAGTTTTACTATTTTCTATTGCCCCTATAGTCCTTTTCTTGGGCCCTTTCTCGCTCTCTTATTCGCTTCGCTGTATTGTGTTCATAGGGGGTTCGGGGTCAACCCTAAACCCGAAACCCTAGCCCTAAACCGGGTTTGGTGTCTCGGGTCTGTGGTTCAGGCCTGCAGGGTGCAGGATCCCCCCAACTACAAACCCTTTGCTCCTGGGAGGATGCTTGCTTCAGGGTCGGAACCCGCAACGGTTCTTGATTGTCAAAGATGGGAAGAAGTACGATTTGTTGCCACCCGTTTGTGCTTGATTGTCAAATATTGCAAGAAGCACGATTTGTTGCCACCAGGTTGTGTTGCATTGTCACAGATGGGAAGAAGTACGATTTGTTGCTTCCCGTTTGTGCTCGATTGTCACAGATGGGTAGAAGTACGATTTGTTGCCACCCGTTTGTGCTTGATTGTCACAGATGGGAAGAAGTACGATTGTTGCCACCATTTTGTGCTTGATTGTCAAAGATGGGAAGGAGTACAATTTGTTGCCACCCGTTTGTGCTTGATTGTCAAATATGTGAAGAAGCACGATTTGTTGCCACCAGGTTGTGTTCGATTGTCACAGTGGGGAAGAAGTACGATTTTTTGCCGCCCGTTTGTGCTTGATTGTCACAGATGGGAGAAGTACGATTTGTTGCCGCTAGGTTGTGTTGCATTGTCACAGATGGGAAGAAGTACGATTTGTTGCCACCCGTTTGTGCTTGATTGTCTAATATGTGAAGAAGCACGATTTGTTGCCACCAGGTTGTGCTCGATTGTCACAGATGGGAAGAAGTACGATTTGTTGCCACTCGTTTGTGCTTGATTGTCACAGATGGGTAGAAGTACGATTTGTTTGCCACCCGTTTGTGCTTGATTGTCAAAGATGGGAAGAAGTACGATGGTTGCCACCAGTTTGTGCTTGATTGTCAAAGATGGGAAGAAGTACAATTTGTTGCCACCCGTTTGTGCTTGATTGTCAAAGAATTGAAGAAGTACGATTTGTTGCCACCAGATTGCGCTTGATTGTCAAAGATGTGAAGAAGCACGATTTGTTGCCATCAGTTTGTGCTTGGTTGTCACTGTTGGGAAAAAGTACGATTTGTTGCCACCCGTTTGTGCTTGATTGTCAAATATCTGAAGAAGCACGATTTGTTGCCATCAGGTTGTGTTCGATTGTCATAGATGGGAAGAAGTACGATTGTTGCCGCCAGTTTGTGTTTGATCATCAAAGATGGGAAAGCATGGTTGTTGCCACAAGTTTGTGCTTGATTGTCAAAGATGGGGAGAAGTACGATTTGTTGCCACCCGTTTGTGCTTGATTGTCAACTATCTGAAGAAGCACGATTTGGTGCCACCCGTTTGTGCTCGATTTTCACAGATGGGAAGAAGTACGATTTGTTGCCACCAGTTTGTGTTTGTTTGACAACAAGATGGGTAGAAGTACGATTTGTTGTTGCCAACCCTGAAGCGCACGCCTCCATACAAGCCGTCAAGTCACAAACCGTGGAATCCCGAAGCTAAAAATCCCCAAGCCCTACCCTGGAAACCCTAACGTCTAAACCCTAAACCCTAAACCCTAAAACCCTAAACCCTTAAGCCTAAACCCCCCCCCCCCCGCCCAACCACAGAATGGCTCGACACGCACAGGGAGCCGGGAGTTGGCGGAGGACTTGGCCAAACGCTGGCTTCAGAACTGCTACGAGGCCCTGGTTTGTCGAAACGTACATTCGAGCCTTCAGGAAGGGTTGTAGGGACGAGTTAGGGATTTCAGGTAGCCGTGCGGTTAAGGATGGAACCCAGGGGGGAGTTTATGTTTTCTGGGCTTCGGGTTCGCGAGTCTATGGCAAAAGGGCAAGAGTCCCCTTGATTTAGGGGGGCTTGCTTGCTGTAATTATGAGGTGTCCCTTATTAATTGCTTTCAGAAAACCTAAACGAGATCCTCGACTCACCAAAGACCTTGAAGGGTTTAGAGCCCAAGACTCCCTGAAGCCAAAGACTCCCGAAGCCCAAAACTTTCAACCCTACCGCCAAACGGCCTAGGCCCGAAACCCTAAACCCTAAACACTACACCCTGCGCAGCCATGGCCTCAAGAGCCCCAGCCGCCTCGCAGGCGTGGCACAAGCACGGGGCGATGTTTGAGAAGTGCCCACTCCACGGTTGCAACCCCTATCAACCCTAAGCCCCTGTAACCCTTGCAAGCCTCCCCTAAGCCCTAAACCCGAAGCCCTAAACCCTAAACCCTAGCAGAGCCCTAAACCCTAAACCCTAAACCCTAAACCCTAAACCCTAAACCCTAAACCCTAAACCCTAAACCCTAAACCCTAAACCCTAAACCCTAAACCCTAAACCCTAAACCCTAAACCCTAAGCCCTAAACCCTAAGCCCTAAACCCTAAACCCTAAACCCTAAACCCTAAACCCTAGCAGAGCCCTAAACCTCATAAAGTGTGGTGCTTCCAGGTGCTTCGGGCTTTTCGAGGGCAGTCAGGCATTGGGATGCTCCATTTAGCTGATTGAGGAGGGAGTAGGAGTTGTAAATCGTTGGGCCCTTACAATCCCTCTGTTCTGGTCATCTATATAAGCCACATACCCATTGTGAGTACGTGGCCGTTCGGGTATTGGTCTGAGTGCCAGGGTGTAGCACAACGGTCGGGCTGCTTTCGGTGCTAGCTTCTGAAGCAGTGAACTACTTATTCGAGGCACAGGTGCAAATATGTCAGAGAGGGTTTCTTTCCCCGCTGCATCATTGCAAGCTTGCAGGTACGATGCCTTCCACCCAGGTGAGGGCGGTGGAGGGGGTGAGTACCACCCACAAACAGGACCGTCACGTCTTTTATGCCTAAGTAATTCTTATGAAGAAAGGTTTTGTACGCTAGCGAGTTATTCATAACTTGTAAAATCTTTAAACGCTGGAGTTCACTAGTTTATTAGAAAAGTGATACAGAAGAACGAAGCAAAAGTAAATCAAATAGCTGAAAAGGACCTGCTGCAGGAGCCATATTGAGAATTCTGCAGTTACAAGGAGAGGAAATACACATCAACTCAGAAACTCTGCCAGAAAGATAAAATGCTGAATCTGAAACAACACGAATTATCTTATACAAATCCTGTGACCCTTTTGTATGCTAACTGTTACTTAGCGAATGGAGAACACAATAAAACCAATACAAAGAGTGACAACAAATTGCCTTTGTTGTATCAGTATGTCGTCTTCCTCTTTCATGTTCGTGGGCTAGGTTGTGCAAGTCACTTGTGCCTAAACCCTAAACCCTAAATGAGAACGACCTCAGTGAACCCCTGACCACTCACCAGGATTTGGCTGGAGCAATGGTGTGGCATTGGTTCTGTGCCTTGCCTGCACAGGGCGTTGCACTCCGCCCCTGATATACTATAGGGGTCGGAAGAAGGTCTAATAGTATTCCCTTATGGTCCCTATGTGATTATACTCCAATCACCCCCCCAAAAAGACCCGATTCGACTCTTCACTGCTTGTCCTGTCAAGTACAGACGGAATCACCGTGTATGTCTGACAGAACGACGAATACAGTAACAACTTGGAACACTGTTCTGTGATGTTCACGTGCTTGTGACGTTGCAACTGCATTTTGTCATCGAAAGTGCTGTAAAGTTGAATGGACCGGTTGACATGCCAACATGTTGGCACAAAACGTGTCGCGGCTGCTGGCTGTGAATTGTAGGTGACAGTATGCAGGCGTTTTCAAGCCTCGCTGCTCCGACGCACCTTGCGGCGCGCAATGGGCTGGTGCAGCAGCTGCCAGCTTCTCACCGTGTGAGGGGCCAGTCAAGATGTGGCAACGAAGGACCTTACCTGCTGGCACTGTCTGCTGCTGGCGCAGCAGCACAAAGATGCAGCAGAATTGTCAAACGGGCTTGCAAGACTGAGTACGTGCGCTTTGCACAAGATCTGATGTCGCCGGAAGATGGTCCAGAGGAGCATGAGCAGTTCGAGCTGGACGAGGAGGGGGAAAAGCGGCGTCTCGATGTTTTGCTGTCTGAAAAGTATGAGCAGTCCCGCAGCTATTTCGGAGCTCTTATCCGTCAGGGCGCTGTCCAGGTAAACGGCCGCGCGCGCAAAAAGTCTTTCCGAGATTTTCACCCAGGCGATGTGGTGGACATTCGGTTCCTGCTGGATGAAAGAACGCTGCCCATGAAGCCAGAGCCCATGGACCTAGACATCTTGTACGAGGATGACCACCTGATCATAGTTAACAAACCAGCCGGCCTGGTAGTACACCCAGCTCCAGGGCATTGGAATGGGACCTTGGTGAATGCGGTGCTGCACCATCTGGGCTTCCGTTCCTTGGAGGAGGGTCTGCCCTCCGCGCCACCAGGACCAGCATCCCAATTTCGCCCTGGCATCGTCCATCGGCTGGATGTTGGCACCTCGGGGGTCATCGCAGTGGCAAAGACGTCGCAGGCTTTTTCGATGCTGAGCCAAGCCTTCTCACGTCGCGAAGTCCAGAAGACGTACATGGTCATCTCCACTGGTGGCCGCAAGTGTTTCTTCGGGCATTCTCCTGGTGGGGGACACTTCGTGGACATCCCAATAGGGCGCTCCAAAAAGGATCGCCGTCGCATGGGCGCTGTTGCGGAGGACTGTGGAGGGCGTCCATCTGTCAGCCTTATCCGGGGACTGGCGCGAGACCGCGACCTGCTACTCCTGGAGGTGAAGCCTCGGACTGGAAGGACCCACCAAATTCGTGTGCACCTGGCAGAAGAGCACTCTCCAATTTTGGGAGATGCCTGCTATGGCTGGGAGCATCTCAATCGGCGGTACGCAGGATTGGCGACGCGACCTATGTTGCATGCCTTCCGCCTGGCTTTCGCTCATCCCGTGACGGGCCGACAGATGGAATTCGAAGCGCCCTTGCCGGAAGACATGCGAAAGCTCATCGCTCGAATGGATCCTGAGCCCGGCGAAGCTGAGTTCGTGCAGTCGCTCTCGGATCCAGGAAGCAGCTCTTGAACAAAGCCCCGGGAGCTTTCTTAGAGGCGCAAGTGGTCTCAACACAGACCTGCTGGCATCTGATACGCATCGTAAGAGTTACAAAATTGTCACCTCTGCAGTCGACATATGATGCTCGAACACACCAGACGTCAGAGGCTCGCTGTTCACGAGCGTAAAGTATCTTCTAAGTAGCGTTGAGTAGTTATGTATCTAATTGTATCTACAAGGTCACGGTTTTGGCAAGGTCAATTAAAGTGGGGCTGGGGTAGACCTTTACAAGGGTCCCTAGACTAGGATCTGAACGCCTCGGGCCTCAAGCCTCGGCAGATTGTTTTCTGGGGAGGGAAGTGTACGGTCGTCCGAAGACAGGTAGCTCCTCGCCTGTTGCTGTCAGGGCTTGAGCGTGAGGGCTCTGTACCTAAAGCTGAAATCATCCATTCGCTGCCTCTTTGGCTTGCGTTGTCTTGCCCAGGCTCGTCCAGAACGCAGACCGGGCGGATCCTTTCGTGCCTCCTCCGCACATCCTCGTTTGAGTGCTGGGTCCTAGGCTGCCCTGCGCCCCAAAAGAACCCGCCCTTAGTTACTGAGTCCCCATGCGCCGCTTTTGAAAGCCCCAAAGGGCTTGGGATGGTCAGTCCATCCGGCCCTCGAGGCGCGGGCTGGCTTGCGTCGGCTGCAAGCCCTCGTTTACTTTTGTTTACTCCGGGTTGCGATGCACCGGCTTTACTGTGTACATCTGTGTACAGCTACATGGTTCCATGGTGTGAAGAGAGTGTCAGTTTTCAGCGGTCAGGAATAAGCAGGTGGCCTCGGTCGTCGGCCGCTTCATGTGGTTCTGGCTGAGTAAGATGCATCTTCTCCATGGGATACCCAGACTCTGCTTTGCTTTGCTTGCATTCATGTATTGTGTCTCTGTATACAGACATTTTTTGTGTATGTTTATATGGATGTAGGCGGTATACATACAGCGATAGAATTTCCTTGCGCGCTCAAACTCCCCGAAGCCTCAACCGTCAACAAGATCCTCTAGCGCTGGCGCATGCCAGGAGACTGACGTCTTCCATGTCGCAACCCTTCGCCTCTGCAGAAAGTCGCGTCGGGGAAGCTGCTCCAGTTATTTGAAGAGTGTGATCTGCCTCGCTAAACCCTGAACCTCGAGACCTAAACCCCCGAGCCTTAAACCCTGAGCCCAGACCCTAAACCCTAGACCCTAAACCCTCAGCCAATACGTCATGGAACTTGTCAAGCTGTCTGGTCATCAAGTTGAGTGATGCCCACACTTCTCTTTGCGGGCTCAAACCCAGCGCTCCCACGTTCAACTACCAGAGCCTCACCGGCTTCCTTGGAGGCACGACCTGGAGAATTACCGTAGGGCTTAAAGATGCTTGAGGGGTGTAATCGGCCGGTTCACGGATGCACCAAAAGGTTTCAGGCACTAGGGTGTCGGGCTCACGGTCTGGGGCTCATGGCTTCAAAGCCCTAAACCCTGCACCCTAAACCCTGTTCCCCAAACCCAGGCACTTGCAGGCCTTGACCCCCTCCTATACCAAAACGTGTTTCTTACCACCTAGAGGCCTTGCCTCACTAGGACCCAGAGCAGGCCCTTGGGTCTGGCCCAATCCTTGAAGTCTAAATTGGGTCTTAGCATCTCCCGCCCCAAGCGCTTATGTTGTTTTAGGGCATGTAGAGTTGCCCAAGCCCTAAACTTTAGGGTATTTGGGGTGTTGTGGGTTTTTGTGGGTTCTTTGGGGGGCCTATCCATCATCTTCGCAAGGCTGGATGATCCGCTAATCGAACCTCTTCATATGGTGCTGGGGCCTCAGTCGGGGGGGGGACGGGGGGGGGGGGACGGGCGGGGGGACGGGGGGGGGGGGGGGGGAGATATCAGCAATCGACATCAGCTGACTTCAGAATAGAACAGAAAATGCATTTTGGGGTTCAGTCAGTCTGCAAACCCTGTTAAACCCCAAGCACCTTCAGCCACAAGCAGAGAGGGATCGGCAAGAAGGCACCTTCCCAGCCCTGCGCCGAAGCAGGCGCAACCGAGCGGAACTTGATATCGGCGAGTGGCAGGAAGCCACAAAGGATGGGATGCACGGTGGGGGGAGCCTGGGTTCAGGCTTTAGGGCTTTGGGCTTATGGTTTAGGGTTTAGGGTTTAGGGTTAAAGGGGGGGGGGGGGAAGGGTGCTGTCAAAAGCGTGATACTGAGTGAAGTCTCGTGCTGGGGTCATGTTTGTCCACGCATACTTTGGAAGCAGAAGAGTTGCTACTTCGCCCTAGCTGGAAGACTTCGTGTTGGTCAGCGATCAAACGTTGGTAGTATGATGATATCGGAACAAACATGAAGAAACCGTCCCAGAGCCCATGGTCTAAAACCCAAAAGCTACAAACTCATCCAAACCCTCAAGCCCTAACCCTGAAATTTCAGGAACCCTCACACCCAAACCCTCAAGGCCTACACCCGACGAAGTCACAATGATGGCAGGACTTGGTCGATGCCAAATCCGAGAAGCCAAAAGGCCCCTGCAAAACCCTAAACCCTAAACCCTAAAGCCTAAACCCTAAACCCTAAACCCTAAACCCTAAACCCTAAACCCTAAACCCTAAACCCTAAACCCTAAACCCTAAACCCTAAACCCTAAACCCTAAACCCTAAAACCCTAAACCCTAAACCCGTAAACCCTAACCCCTAAACCCTAAACCCTAAACCCTAACCCTAAACCCTAACCCTAAACCCTAAACCCTAAACAGCTGGGGCGTTGCTTTTACATCTCCGGGATGCTGATGTTGGGATGCAAGAATTTGGGGTTTAGGGTTTAGCTTAGGGGCGTGGGTGTTGGGGGTTTAGGGTTGCATGGATGGTTGTTTTTCTGGGTGTTGTAAGCGTCAGTGCTAATAACGGTCTTAACCTATTCCCGCGAACCTTCCAAGTAGAGGTTTGTGTGTAGCGGTCAGGTTCAGGTGTTTGGGCTGGATGAAAAAGAGGGGCTTGTTTCAGCATGCGGCTTGGCGCGTCTCAGGTGTAGTGGCCGAAGATGCAGATGTGAAGAGCTGAGCCCTCAACCTCAACCCTCAACCGGAAACCCTAAACCCTAGACCGGACATCCGAAATAGCCCTAAACCGCAAATCCTGAACCCTAACCACCCTGAACCCAGAACCCCTTAGCCGTACTATAGGGGCCTGAGTGATTTTGATGGGGTTTTTGGGGGTGATTCTATTGATTATAAAGGGAACCTAAGGGAATACCATGAGTAATTCTTCCGACCCCTATTTTGCTCATGGGCCCCTGGCTTGGGGGTCGTATTCCTCATGGCCCAGGCCCGTTTAGACAAAGCCCCTTGAACCCTTTAAAACCCGAAAGCCCTGAAAGCCCTAAAAACCCTGAAACCCCCAAAAACCCTAGCCCTAAACCCTAAACCCTTATCATTCCCCCCCCCTCCCCGTGCCCCACCCCAAAACTGTCAGGCGATGGCAACTCCGAGTTGGCTCCCTACTTTGCAGTTTACTTGGAGAATCCGGATGGCAACCTGGAGTCATGGAAGCAGGTTTGGGGTTTAGGGATTAGGCTTTGAGGTTTACAATTTAGGGTTTAAGGGCTTAGGGTTTAGGGTTTAGAGGAGGTTGGTGGGGGGGGGGGGGGTCTGGGGGCTGGGTTGAGGGGGGGGCGGGGGGGGGGTTTCAGCTCAAGGGTTGCTTAGGGCTTGGGCTTGGGCTTCGGGGTTTAAGTGGATTAGGGTTCGGAGGTTCGAATTTAGGGTGTCTAGGGTTTAACTTTTTGGGCCACTGGGGTCTAGCGTGTAAGACGGGTGGGGGGTCGAGAGTTGAGGGTATGGGGTGTTTAGTTTAAGGTGGACGCTGGCCTCACAAAGCTTCCAGCAGGGTGGGTTTGAGGCTTATAGGGCCGAGCGGTTTAGGAACTTAGGGCTAGCGATGATGGATTTGGGCTGGCTCGGGATTTGGATGTGGGGCTTCGGGACATCGAGCTTTGGGATTTGGGGTTTGGCTCACGGTTTGCGTCTTGCGGCTTTAGAGTTTTGTGTTTACGGTGTTTGGGGTGTCAGGCTTTGGGTTTGGGGCTTGGCTTAGGGATGTTATCTTGCAGTTTGATGACGTTGGGCTCTAGGGCTCTAGGGATGCTTACTCGAAATTACTTGAAGAGTTCAAGCAGGATCCGAGTTGTTCGGCTCGAAGTGATGATCCCAGGGCTTCGCGGTTTCGGGGGGCCTTACGGTTTTGGGGTTTTTGGCAGCCTGCTGAGTATAGGTAGCATCTACCTAGTATAGAACCTCGCGCCATGCAGCACTGACAGGAAGAACAACTGGGTATCCAACCTTCAAGTTCTTCGCGTCAGAGACATCCTGCGAACGCCGCGAAAACAAGCCTGCGAGCCTCAGCCGAGGCAGCCTGAGTCTGGGCGCACCTGGCCTGGAGTTGCGGCAGTTGGCTGAAGTTTAGGGCCTGTAGGGTTTAGGGTTGAAGACGGTTGAAGTTTTGACTTTGCCCCCGTGGCTTCCGCTGTGGCAGAGCTACAGAGGCGCGAAGTGAGACGGTCGTGCATCAGTGGCATGTTGCCTGAAATCCAGGGCCGCCCCGGAGTGCTAAGCCCCAAACTAACCCTCGACGTCCCAATGCAGTGAGCTCTGGGTGCTGTCGTTGCCAGGCCTCCCGCCCAACATGAGACTGCCCAGCCCACCGAGCTCCCCACGGGCACGACCACGGCCTGGGCCCAGGAGGGTCTCCTGGGTCTGGCCTTTCAGGGTTCGGGAGGGAATTCGGGGAAACAGCAGGGCTGCTTCAGAGTGGTTCTGGGTGTCTGGAGTCTACGGTGATAGGAAGGATTCGGGAAAAACACAAAAAGCCAGCCCTGCCATGGCTGGCCCAGCTGTCCCGCGAGATGTCGGTAGTCGACCCAGGGCTTAGGGTTTCGGGTTTCAAGCCCCATAAGCCCCAAAGACCATATAAAGCCTTCACTGCGTTTGCGCGCTGCAGTTCGGACTTGCCGTTCTTCTCTGACCTCACGGACCCTATTGGAGGCCAGGGACGCGAATTGTTCTGCCTGTCTGGTTGGGGTCTAGTGCTTGGGCTGCAGGTCGAAACAGTTAAGCAAGAACGGTTGCTTCAGATGGAAGACTTCCACACCCCAACAGTTCTAAAGAGCAAAACTGGGTTTGGCATGCCTCTTCATCACGATTCCTCTGATGCATGTGGGGTTCAATCCCAAGACCCTGAGCCCGAAGCAAACAAGGCCTAGGCGCGCGCAGCGCCCGCACAGTGTCTCCGTCGGAGTTCCAGCACCATGAGCGGCTCTTCACGGGGCTTCTGGTGGTGGCCGGGGGCCTCAGGGGTGAAGGGGTTGCGCTGTTGCGCGCGCAAGACCTGGGATCACCTTAGTTTGTTCACATCCGTATTCAGACAGGCACTAGACCCGCATCGTTAAATTTATGAGGCTCTGATCTTGCGTTTGTGGGATCTGTTCGTCGAAGTACCGTCGTCAATAACCTCCACCAAACCCCCCCCCTTTCCAACCCTTCCAGCCAACACCCCTCCAACCCCTCCTTCAGCCAGCCAAACCCCACCCTTCCAGCCAACCTCCCCTTCCGGGTTGGCTGGAGGGGGGGGGGTTGGCTGGGGGGGGGGGGGGGGGGGGTGGGTTGGCTGGAGATGGGTTGGCGTTGTTTTCTTGATTCTAAGGTCTCCCTAGCCATGCTGCCTCGAGTTGCGTGCTACATGAATAGTTGCGTGCTGCCTTGCCTGCGCAGCTCACGCGTCGGAGGCACCTGTGTGCATGTGACACAGCATGCAACAGTTCTGGCAGCACACAGAACGAGACAGCATGCAAAGTCATCAGGTTATTTCTGGTAAAGGTATTTAGTGGCCACCATTGCATGCTGCCTCGAGTTGCATGCCGCATAAATAGTTGCGTGCTGTCTCACGTGTGCAGCTGGCACATGTGCAGACACGAGGCGGAGACGCACGAGCGAGACAGCGTTCATATGTTTAGGCAGGACATCCCTGAGGCAGCATGGCTTTGGAGGCACATTTTTTGGTCGGTTTGCGAGACAAGCGCGAGCCTTCTGAGACCCATCCACACATATCGCGGTACACGCAGGGCCGCGGGCCCTCATGGCAAAAAAAAGGATTTGGGTTTGTGTTTTTTGGGGGGGCTCAGGTTTAAGAAGGGCACACGGGTTGCACACCCGCGAAACATACCCCGAAACATAGCCCCGAAACATACCCCGTAACATACCTCCGAAATTGCAGGTAAAGTAGCTCATGATGCAGCGAAACATACCCGAAACATACCCCCGAAACATACCCCGAAACATACCCCGAAACATACCCGCGAAACAAACCCGCGAAACATACCCCGACCCCAACACGTGTCGCGCGCCTCCCCATTAAGATACAAACCCATTTAGACTGCTTCAGGAACACCAATAAACTCTAAAACCCGTGAATTAAAAGCCCTAAACCGTTTCTAAACCCCACAAACACCTTGAAACACTAAGCCCCACATCTGTGACACTGACTTCCTCAGCCAAGGAGCTTGTCCTCGAGGCAGCATACCTAGGCTTGATGCTACACTGCTCGAGGCCGTGTGGGAGTATGGTTTAGGGCTGACGGGGCTTGGAAAAGATGGTAGATTCTTATTTAATTCTTAAGATTCTCAGGGCCTTAGCCCAAGCAAAATGTTGCGTTTTGTTTGGTCTGACGTTGGGCTGGAGCAGTTCTGACCAGGGCTCAGCTTGGAGCTGATTCAGTTCTCAACTCTGCTTTGGAGTACGGTTTAGACTCTATAGGGTCCAGGGATGAAGGATCTCTGTAGAACCCCGGGCCCCAATCATGCCGAGTCCTGCTGCGAGTAAAACACTTTCTGCTGAGAGAGGGCGACACTAGAGCAGTCGTGAAGCAATGGACCCTTTGATGAAAAGCACATCATTCTCAGCACATAGCAACATCTGTCTTGAGTGATGCTCGCATGGTGCAGGCACTCAGTTCAGGAAGTGGCCTCGGCGTACCAGGCTCCCTATAGGGTGCAGGGTTTCAGGTTCAAGGAGATGTACATGCCCATGGAGCTCAGGGTGTGCACCTCAAGCCTAGACTGATCCCAAACTCTCCCAAGCCCATGGCAGCTGGGAGTTGCCAAATGAAGCGCAATGTAGGCCCTTTGGCCTTAGGCAATGGAGTGTTTAGGTAGAACTCTCCTCTAGTCTCCAATCAGGGTTCAACGAGCTGAAGTAGGGTTAAAACCATGACGGCTCATGATTATTGTGGCTGTTTTTGCTGATTCGGGGATCATCCTGAAAATTTAGGTCTACTGCTTTTTTGGCATGAGAACCCAGATTGAAGTGTAGATTGTTCATGCGGTCACTGGAACCTTGCTACAACTTTTTGATTTCATAGCCTAAACCCCTAACCGCCGCAGCTCTTCAGTTTTGCCCTGGAAGGCACTGCCTCTGCAGTCGCTATGGACCTTGCGGCGGCCTCATATCCGGAGGAAGACATGATAAGGTTCAGGGTTTAGAGCCTGGAGCTCTCTGCTTCTTGTGCCAGGCATGGGTTGCACACCGGCAGCTTGCCCGAAAACAAACAACAAAACAGACCCTAAAACCTTAAACCCCAAACCCCAAACCCTAAACCCCAAAGAATTGCCCCTAGACAGCTCTGCCAGGTTCTGGGCGCAGCTGGGATTCCAGCTGGCCTACCTGAAGCTCTACTTTTGCAGCTTGCCATGGCGAACGAATACGTGTCCTCGAGCTTCTGCTTTGCTCTTGCATCTGCGCTCTGCCCACGTACTCAATGCGACACCCGCCCTACCCGAGGGAAAGTGCAGCCCGATTGAGCACTTCCCCTTTGCACCATTGGCCTGGTGTGGGGCTCCGGCGAGTGCCCGCGATCACCCTGTCAGCCAAGCGCTTCAGGGCTTAGGCGTATGACAGCGGAGCTATGAGCTAACGCGTCCGCTGGGGGTGGTCCCATGTGGGTGACCACATATGCCCGTGGCATGGCACTCACGGAAAGCAGGGGAGGCCAATGGTTGTTCTGAAGCGCTTCCGGGTTTGTGCTGAACCACATGCTGCTTCAGACGCTGTAGACTACATTCTGCGTGACACGGCTTCGACTGCCATGGCGTCTGGACTGCCACTCAAATGCGATACCCGCCCTACCCGAGGGAAGGTGAAGCCCGATTGAGCACCTCCCCTTGCACCATTGGCCTGGTGTGGGGCTCCGGCGAGTGCCCGCGATCACCCTGTCAGCCAAGCGCTTCAGGGCTTAAGCGTATGACAGCGGAGCTATGAGCTAACGCGTCCGCTGGGGGTGGTCCCATGTGGGTGACCACATATGCCCGTGGCAACTCGGCCGTGGGCATGGCACTCACGGAAAGCAGGGGAGGCCGATGGTTGTTCTGAAGCGCTTCCGGGTTTGTGCTGAACCACATGCTGCTTCAGACGCTGTAAACTACATTCTGCGTGACACGGCTTCGACTGCCATGGCGTCTGGACTGCCACTCAAATGCGATACCCGCCCTACCCGAGGGAAGGTGAAGCCCGATTGAGCACCTCCCCTTGCACCATTGGCCTGGTGTGGGGCTCCGGCGAGTGCCCGCGATCACCCTGTCAGCCAAGCGCTTCAGGGCTTAGGCGTATGACAGCGGAGCTATGAGCTAACGCGTCCGCTGGGGGTGGTCCCATGTGGGTGACCACATATGCCCGTGGCAACTCGGCCGTGGGCATGGCACTCACGGAAAGCAGGGGAGGCCGATGGTTGTTCTGAAGCGCTTCCGGGTTTGTGCTGAACCACATGCTGCTTCAGACGCTGTAAACTACATTCTGCGTGACACAGCTTCGACTGCCATGGCGTCTGGACTGCCACTCAAATGCGATACCCGCCCTACCCGAGGGAAGGTGAAGCCCGATTGAGCACTTCCCCTTTGCACCATTGGCCTGGTGTGGGGCTCCGGCGAGTGCCCGCGATCACCCTGTCAGCCAAGCGCTTCAGGGCTTAAGCGTATGACAGCGGAGCTATGAGCTAACGTGTCCGCTGGGGGTGGTCCCATGTGATGTGGGTAACCACATCAATATGCCCGTGGCAACTCGGCCGTGTGCATGGCACTCACGGAAAGAAGGGGAGGCCGATGGCTTCTCGTGAAGCATACTGTTGTTGCAATGCGTATGTTCATCCTTTGTGTTTTGCATTACGCATGACAAAGTTTCGATTGTGATGGTGTTAGCACTGCTGCTCGCTGTAATACCTACCAGTCTATCCGAGGGATCTTTTGCAACCCGACTCTTCTCTTTGCACCATTTGTGATCACCCTTTGAGCCAAGCGGGGCTCTTCGCGATGAATTCGAGATCCCAGCTCTTGAAGGCCTGACTTGCTTGAAATCCTGTAATCAGCCTTTAGGCCAAGGGCTTGAGGTCTTAGCTTAGAGTTGTTGTTGACTTGCTTTCGGTATATACTACAGGCCGCGAAGTCAGCATGAAACTACATGTTGAAGAGAGAGAGAGAGAGAGAGAGAGAGAGAGAGAGAGAGAGACCCCTCTGGGGGGCCTACCGTGTGGAGAGAGAGAGAGAGAGAGACTTGGCTTGCCAGATCCGTTTCTGCACTTCTGGGTTTTGGGTTTTGGGGTTTAGAGTTTAGAGGTTGAGGGCTTAAGTTATGGCAAAGGGCTTTGTTTAGGTTTGAAGAGTCACCCCACATGGAGTGCGGAGCGGAGGACTGCGGCAGCAAGTGCCAGCATGGGCCTGGGAATGTCAGGGTAACCATTGATTGCGCCTCATTCCTAAACGGTCCTGAACCTAAATCCTTAAACCCACAAACCCAATACGGGCCAATACGATTTACATAGGGTCTTGGGCATCCTCTTTTCAAACTGAGGCATGGGCTTCTCTGCGGCGAACAAACACAAGCCGCGCTTGTATTCATGGTTCTCGAACATTGCCCTCACAGGCATTATCGTGCAGGCAAGGGTGTTTGCTTTGGGGTCTGGGGTTGCAGGCAAGGGCGCCCTCATAAGGGTTTGACTTCTTTGAAGTTTGGGGACGCCTCCAACGCTTCCAGCAATCTGCATGGCTTGCTGCGGCAGTGCCACGCCTGCAGGTCCTTTTCGCCTACATGAACAAGGCCAACATCATCGTGTTTGCCCTGCGGCTCTTCTGCTACGTCTACGCAAGGCATACTCTGCAAACGTGACGCACACGTGGGAAGGGTCATCTGACATGTTTGTGCTTTGCCACAGTCATGAAGATTGAATGTCGACTTCCACGTCGCTTTTGAAGGCAAGTCGCTTTGCACACCAGCTTCTGCAGGTTCATGAAAGGAATGCTGCATCAGCTCGCGCTGCACCCACCGGTTGAGCTTGATGTTTGACGGAGAAATGCTGGGATGGGGGCATGTATTCTTGAGGTCTGGTTTAGTATGGATTGACATTGGTGATGCTGGGTTTTGGGTCTGTTTTTCTTGGGTGGTAGTCTCATCAAATTCTACTTTGTGCCGGGTCAGCATATCATCCTCAGACACTCTTTATCCAATATTGTAGTCGTTGATTCCATTTCTCTACGATTTGGGTTGGATATTCTGGACAATCCATGGGGGATATCCCTTCTTTGTGCAAATTCTCGATATTCTGGGTCTCTAGAGTATGACTTGTAGATCTGGAGGATTGCGATCTCGCATGTATTACGCCTTCTATGACACGATTTTTAGGATTATGAGAAGTGGAAATTCGGTCTAGACTCGAGCTTGTGATCTTTTATTTGTTAATTTGGTTTCTTCGTTTGGCGTTGGATTTTGCGATA